CCTCCATGACCCTGCCAGCTACACAGGATGGCTCCTCAACCGCAGATACAATCATGCCTGAAATGTCAATGAGTAGAGGCCAGACGAAGCTCAGTCTCACAAGCCAGCTGCTTGGGCACCTCCTGACTTCCCTTGACTAACCACTCTCACCCTTGGAGAGGTCACTCCAGCAAATAAACACGGGGCAGTTTACCGGTCAAAAGACCCCCGCTAGATGGACGTAGGAGCGGGGTACCTAGGGCTACCTCATGACCGTGGGAGAAGTCTTCGCGCTTCAATGGACAGCAACCGCCCGCCCAAGCTGGACAGCCCCTAGCCAATAAAAAGCTGTCCCGTCCACGTAGCGCTTGTCTCATTGGGTGCATGAAGCTAATAGCCAATCCCGAAAAGCGGACAATCAATCAACGCACCAACGAACAACAAACTGAACCGAAATTCAAAGGCATATCATGGCAGGTCTCCAGAAGCTCTCACACGGGTGCCTTGGTCAGGTTCCTGCGTTGGATCTACGTTCCACTGCCTTGTGGGTCAGACTTTTGAGTTAAAGGATACGGTTAAGGTTCCTATAGAAAAACCCGTTCGTCGATGTGGGCCTCCGCAAAGTATGTCGTGCCCCAAAGTCGTAAGTATCCAGTTGGAGAACCCACTTTCTCATCTGTCCACTTCTTCTCATTTCTAAATCTTTGGATGCTTCCTGTTTGCACCACCCATGGAATATCACTCAGCGTTCAATTAATGAGGTCAATCACTCAGAAGCTATCAGATTTTTGGAACCAGAATCTCCTTTTCATCTAGCTGCACTCATTGTCCGCACACTCCATCAGATCGTTGAATCCTCTCGGTGTGCATACATACCTTTTCAAGAATTCTGACCGGATAAGAAATGACAAAAAGAACGTCACTGTGGTTAGTTACTATACCATTCAAACAGCCAGTTGCAGTCTTTCGGACCCCACCCCGGAAGACACCTATTCTACCTAGTCAATCTGTGCATTTCTTCAAGCCTCGTTTCCACGTCATCTGTTGACCTCCCCGTGCTTTCTTCTGACCTGGAGCCGCGACTGCGAATAAAACGTAGTGCAGTAGTCGATGGCACGCGCAATAAGTGTCCTAACCAGCGAAACTACGTAAACATATGCAGGCGAGGATTTCTAGACGAATATCTTACACGCGCAAATTCAGTCTCGCAACCAAAGAGCTAAACTGACCGCACACCGATGCAGTATACACGACCTCTCAGTTAAAACAAAACATCGCGTCTGCACCAAAGATTTTTCAATCATGCGTAATCTGCTCGAGCCTTAGAAATTCGGGCGGTCACTTCATTGACTACGCTATCGTCATTCGTCACGCAGCTACTGAAGTAGGAGAAACATTACAATATACCTAATTCTTGACCATCAAACATCAGCGCCGGGGTAGACGAAACCCAATCTTGTAGCATCACTTTGCAAGGCGCATACCGAATGAAGTTACAGAACTTGAAAGTCTGTCAAGAGCGCTTTGCGCATCCTCCATACATTCGAACAGGCATACGCTGTCATCGGCGTACTCTAAATCGCAGTTTTTTTCAGCTGCCCATTCAATACCCACATTTTGGAGACCACTAAATGCGTTCCCCAGTATTCCGTCTCAACGCCGGCTTGTAGACAAGCATGGTGCCAACGCCACAACAATAACAATATTAGACGACAGGTGGATTCGGGTACAGAACAAAGTGGAAAGAGGGTGAAAAAGTTAAACACGGAAAAATGGAAGACAACTGGGATAACAAATTTTTGTGTTTCATCGCACACTTTTTGATAATTTTGTGTTCTTTGTTGTTTTTAAGGGGCGCGGAATTACGATAGGCAGGCCGTAAAGCATTCGCGGCACTGACTTCTATTCTGAGTCATATCTCTCAGCGTGTCTAACCAACGACAATCCTCATCCCTTGGACCCCAACCTGGAAGGTGGGCTGCACCAACCGAAGCCAAAGCTGAAGCCAGCTTCTTCATGCCTCTAGCCCATGTCATGGTCTAATCGCCGCGCCGCTTCTTCTAGCCTTGCCCGGCATATGCAAAGAGAGCACAGAAGGGTAGTCGATGGGCAGGCATTCGCAATACGTGACCAAGCCATCAGAGGCGGTGTACAGCGATTTTTCCGTTAGGGAACAACTATCCGCACCCAACACACGACGACGAACTTCGTCATTACCCACCAGATGTTCCCACCAGACAATAGTAATGCTTCGGAGACATCCGTGGTCAAATACAGAATGTCCTCAACGCGGAAGGGCCAGGTCTCGTAATCGTAAAGTAGAACGCTACGAACCGCGGTGATGTACACCCTACCCTTAAAGGACAGCCGGATACGATTGCGGCGACACCTGTGGCGTGATATGATCTCCTCCCCAACACCACCAACAGCTGCGATCAAGCTCCCAAGGTACTTAAAGCTCTCAATTACTTCCAGCTGATCACCACAGCGGGAGTGCAGACAAAGGCTCCTGCCAGTCTTGAAAAAGCACTTTGCTCTTGGAAGGTGCAAAGCACATACCATATCTGGAAACCTCGATCGGCATGTGGTTCCAGGCATCTTGGACTACTTGCGTGTTGTCACCCAGCAAGGTGATGGCATCAGCATATTCTAAGTCAAAGAATGGCGAAATAGGACACTCTTGACGAACGATTTATTTAGCCCACCGTAGACCGTTGCGCCACCAGAAGTATGCAGGTGCAGCG